TCCTATAAAACAGAACATCAGTATTCCTCCAAAATACTACACTTTTCAACCCACTCAGCACATATTTGGAGCCAAATTTTCAGCTGAAGTAAATCAACATCGCTCTATTGACTTATATGGAGTTGCAGTGATTCACGCCAGCTGAAAATCTGGCTGCGATCTTGATATATGTATGAAAGGGAGAACACACGCACACAGGGGTGACAGAGTTAGAAGACAAATGGGAAAACCATTAACAAATTAAAAGCATCTTCTAAGAAGCAGTCAAGACAACACGTTTCCACTGCAGCATCAAAGATCTGCTTGTCCCCTCCTCACATTTTACGTTGACTTCAGTTTCCATCCACTCGGCCAGGCTACATGTAAAATTAAATTGAGAATCAATGAGAGCTGACCTCCTTAATTAATTTGCTGCAGAAACCAAATGAAAGGGGAAGATGCTGAGACTAGAGGCAGCAAGGATAGGTTTTGTACAAACACCCACCCCTTCTTGTAAATCAGATTCATGACACTCCTCATTTTAAAAACTTCCCCTTGTTGGTGAAGGGATTTTTTAAGCTGCATTAGTTCCAGTGGGTGTGGGAATTCTGCCAGCTGCAGAGTCAGAAGTGAAGCAAAGGAGAGAAAAACGCCATTAAATCCAAAAGGAAGTTTATGGTTGGGGATGACCTCTTGCCTTGTTTATTTTTAGTGCTGTTTTTGTCACCATGCAGTTTTTCGGGACATTAAAGGAAAAGGTTTCCCTTTTCTAGGGTGGGGGCAGGAATAACAGCAGCTCTCTTCTCCCTCCTGTGCCACGTAGGGTGGTGTGCATGTGTGTGTGCACGCACGCACTTGTGCATGCCTCCCTGGACCTACTAGATTGACTGCAGGATTATGTTACCCCTATGGAGACACAACCCTGGAACAGAGCACACTAACAGGATTAGGGTTTCAGGATTTGAGACAGAGAAGCATGAAGGAGACAAGAAGGGGAGATTATTTTTCTTGTTAGATGGAGAGGATGTAAAATGGTGGCATGAGGATTCTGGGGAAGAGATGGACAGTCCCAGATTTACTAAAGCCAGGAACAAAGGATGAAAGAGCAACAATTTCCTGCAAGCATTTGGAGAGCAGCAGAGTCCGATTCTGCTCACTTCACTGAACTGCCATCACCCCTCCTGACAGTATGACCTGCATACTACCTGCAGGACTGGGCACTATGTATACTGGGCAGTGAGCCACCATTGAAAACAACCTTTACCGGATCACAGTTTATGCCTGCTAAGGACAAGCAGAATCCTAAGTATTTAGGGAGGTCCTGGATCAAGGTATCACCTGGGATACAAGGGCAGTGGGATCTACAGTTATCTTGCCAAGGGTAAGTGAGGTCCCAAAGTATAAGGCTACCTCTGGGCTAGGAAACCCAGGATCTTACTTCCTGGGTACAGTACTAAGGGTAAATTCTGGGCCAAATGTTGACAAGTTGTTTACTCTGCAGGAAGGGTGGAAGCAAATCAGGATTTGAGAGACATGAGTTAAACATCTGCAGTATAATATCTTAATGCAGATGAGGTTTCAGACTGCCAGCAGATCACTAGATCTTTTCTTGAACTCTGTAGATAAAAAAACCACAGAACTGAGCTTTCACTAAGATTACTGAGTCCAGATGTCCTTGGGCAAAACCAAAAGGAGAAGTACTCATTAGAGAAGGGGCAGACTTATCCTAAGAGCCACCCCTGATAGTCCCTACCTAGATACTGTAAGTACCTTGTGCCTTCCACTATCAGTTTCTAATGAAAGCTGAGGGTGCTAAGTTATCTGCAAGCTCTGCCCTTCTATATGCACCAATTTAAGATATAATTAAAGGAGGCCAGATAGCAAACAAGTCCTCAGACAGCCATTAGAATTATTAAGAAAATTTCAGTGACTGCAGCTGAGATCTTGTCTAGTGTTTCTCATCCTATGATCTACAAGCACTTTAAAAAAGAGGGTAAGTTGCATTATTTCCATTTTACGGGTGGGAAAACTGAGGAAAAAAGTGCTGACATGACTTGTCTGAGGTCACTGGCAGTCAGGAATGGAACTTAGGTCCCCAAGCACTCATTCCTATGTCCTTGTGAACTGGGTCCTGATATGATCCATACCCGCCTCATAATACTCAGTGATGTCAGTAATTGCTAACGAGAAAGGGCTTATTAAGAGAAATGTACTAACAGTAACAATCAATTCTTTTTTCTTTTTTTAAATCCTGATGCATTTTAGGCTGTATAAGGAGATTAGCAACAACACATAAACGTAAGGCCTGATGCTGACAGGGGCTGAGCCCCTTAGCTGAAGACAGTGGGAGTGGAGAGCACTTAACACTTCAGAACCAATATTTTTTGTTTCACTTGTACAAATGCCTGCAAAATGATTTATATGATATAAATGGCTACTATATCACGCTTGAAAATACAGCCTAGTGGGTCCATTGATTCTGTCTCGTGTGCAGCAAGTGCTAACACTATGTACAACAGAGATGAAGCTCCCAAATCTGACTTGCTGTCATTTATAGAGATTGATCAGAATGCCACACCCAAGCCTTCATGGGTTTTGGAGCATTTAAAATACAGATGCACATGTGGCACTTTGGACCCATGTTGTGTACATGCATGCATGTATAAATATATTCCTGAGAGAGACTGATATGTAGTAGGCAGGTCTATTTCACATGTATGTATTTCCATGTGTATATTAATGGGGGTGCATTATAGATGTGCACCATTTTCTGAACTAACTTTTGAGAGAAGGTGGCTTGCAACCCCCCAGAGCTGTAATCACTTTTCTTTCTGTACAGCATGCCCTTCTTCACCAGTTGAATGGGAACAGACGAGGTAGACAGGCACAGAGACAGAGAGACTTTAATCCTGACCTCACTCAGGCAGCACGTCTGCAATTCCATTCCCCTCCTTCTACTCCAAAAGGCAGTAGTAGCGCCTTGCAAGAAAACAACAGAGCCGTCCCCCACTGCCTTGAGCTCTCATTAATCTTGTTTTCCTCCACTTTATTCTGCTTTTTCCTATTCCCTTGCCTTTAGTGCACTGTATCAATGCTGACAGCAGCTGGGGAATTGAAGTTGAGTTTTCACATTCTGTTGTAAACAGCATATCCTCCTCTTTCCTCTTCCTTAGCACTGGTAACAGTGGTGGGGAGGTCATACCTGCCTTCCCATTTCTGAAGACAGCAATTCCTCCCCTCCCTCCCCCCGACATCTCCTAAACTGACTCTCTTTCTAATTTTCAGATGAAGATATAGATGTTAGCTGACCTCCTGGTAGCACCAGTGAAGCTTGGCTCCCAGCCTACCTTACCCAGGCAGCAGGGAGAGATTCAGAACAGCTTCTTATGGGCTGACACATATACACAGAAATATAGAGTCCCCCCTGCCCCTCCCCACTCCTCATGGCATCAAATCAAACTGCGGCAGACTTGACAAATCTATTTGGCACGGTTTGCTCAACTATTTCAGCTCGAACCATGCAGAGTGCTGCACTGACACACCATGAACAGGGTGGAATCTGCACATTAAATACAGACATCTGGGAGCTTTCCTAATGAAGGAACAGCAGAGATTAACGTTAAAGGAAAAGCGCAGCCAGCCCTCCAGTGCTCGATGCGCTGAGCTGCGCTATGGGGCTCGGGGACGTATATTTGAGTCAGGAGGTTCTGCACTCGCCCTGCTGCTGGGCTGCTGCAGGCGAATCATTTAAAGGGGAGGGGAGCTGCTCACCCTGATTTTGGGGTAGGCAAGCCACTGAAAAGCAATTACTTATTCTCCAGCCTCAGGAGGTGTCTGCTAAATTGAGGCCAAGGTACAAAAAGAGAAAAGAGACTGGAATGAACAAAAAAAGTGCAGAGGAAGAGATTGTACTTGTAAAAATTAAGAGAGAAAATGGCCTTGAAGGAGGCTACAGAGCTGAGAGCTCTTTGCACACATGAAAGGGTCAGATCCTCCACTGGTCATTCATGCTGCTACAGGGCTTGAAACCACAGGAGTATCTAGGCTGTAGGTTCTTACACTTTTGGGACTAGGCCTGACTGGTATAAAACAGCTTAGCTCCAATAAAAACAATAGTTATCCTGATTCATACCAGCTTAGGATCTGGAGTTTCACCTACAGCTTCACAGAGATGGGAAGGATAAAGTCACATGTGATGAAACTCCCTGCCCAGGCCCACTTCCAACCTCCCATGACTCTGAACAGTGGATTTCCTGAAAATGGCAATTTAAAACCAGTCTGACTAGGCTATTTATCATCATATCTTTCTAACTGTCCTTCTTACAACCATTCCCCTGTGCCTGAACTGTTAAAAATGGTCCCTCATGAAGCCTTAAATTTACCTGCCTTATATTTTGTTATAATCTCGAAACTCAGACTGGGTTCTCTGAAAGGTCTGCAAAGTCCTTCAAACCTTCCCAGATGACCCAGACCCAGTCATGATACAGAAGTGGTCACAGTATGGTTTAACATTGGAATCACATGAATCCTAGAGATATGCCCCAGCCACGAAGCACAGATCCAGATCCAGTCTGCCCACATATTTGGATCTGGGAATCTGGGTTGAACTTATTTCTATGGGAGGTAAGGTTCTGTGACCCTTATAAAGCTAACTAATTTGTACTGAGCTTCAGTAGGAAGCATGGCTTAGTTGATACTGGTTCAAGTCTGTGCTTTGACACACACTTCCTTACTGACCTTGGGCAAGTCACTGAACCTCTTTCTATAAAATAAGGATAAAAACCTTCCATGCCTCACAAGGGTGCTGAAGGATAAATTCATTGGTGATGCTGAGGCATTCAGACCCTAGAGCAGTGGTGACTGGGGAGGGATGGGGGTCACAGAAGTACCACAGATGTCGTCTGCTCTGAGACGTGGAGCTCAGCTGAGCCTGAGACATATATTAAAAAATACACTTACATGGAAGATGAAACCCTATGAGGGAAAGAACAGAACAAATCTCTGCAAACCTGAGCTGCTGAGTTACATGCCAGCGTTGGCCTTGCCAGTGGAGGGGTGGACCGTTAATTTAACAGAACAGTTGAACAACTTGAAATACTTGGGAAGAGGAGGCAGCTGCTCTTGGAGCCTTTGCTGCATGGTACATATGTACATGATCCAGTGAGGGGGGGGCAAAGCAACAGCACCAGCAGCCACACCTCATACTGATGAGCAGAAGTGCCCTTAATTAAAGAGAACGTGTAGCCAGGAGGAATTAGAGAGCAGCACCTCTTAGGACACACTATTGTTTTATACACAGCTATACTCTGAGCAGTCACTTCCCCTCCTTGCCAGTTAGCTCCTCACCTCATCATACCTAAAAACATCTGCCCAGAGCATCATTTGAGTGTCTCCTGCATCGAGCATCCATTGTGCATCCAAAGGATCAAATATCTCAAAGGGTCAAATATCCATATTCATAAACAATCTCAGTCCCCATGCCTACACACAACTGGGAGCTGCGGACAGAAGAGGCACAAGCATGGAGGACTCAATGCATCACTGCCAACCACGACTGCTACTGCAGATCCCATATACTTGACAAACTGAATTGCTCCTCATTATTTATTGTTCGCTTTATTCTCTGGGACATTGTGATCCCCTCATAGGATTCGTGCCCTTTCATTTCCAGGCCTCAATAACTCCTGAACTGCAGTTTCATGTGGTTTTGTGATTGTTAACCCAGCATGCAGACGGGGCTCCGGCCATAAATGCTCCATGAATCTTGTGTGGCAAAACACAGGCATTTTCTCCTTCATTTGCAGTCAGAGAACATACTGCAGGCTCTCTCCACTGAGCAAGATGCAACAGCAGCCAGGTTTTCCAAGGAATGAGGATTTCCTGATCACTTCACAGATGAGGAAGATTATTTCTGGTGAAAGCCATATCACAGATTCTTTCAACCCTGACTAAACAGTGTCAGCAAGCAGCAACTCCCACCTCCCATCCATTCTCCCCCCACAAAAATTATATTATATTATATCCCACTCTTCTGCTGATTGCTAGACTCACAGAGATGCAAATACTATGGAGAAATGCATTTACCTTGTGGTTTTTCCCATGCCGGAACATCATCCAATCCTCACCATTGGTGCTGACCTCCAGCTTGTAGGAGTGGACATAGTAGCCATTCTGTGTTTCTCTGGAGATGGCACCCTGGGTAGCAATGGCTGTCAGCACCGTCAGGAAACGAAGGTCCACCTTGTTGGGTTTTCCAAGAGATGAGAGGAAGAGAGGGGTAAAAACATCAGACCCATCATAAACTAGATCATCCCTTATTTTAAAAAACTGAGGAGCAGATGCTTCATTGCTGCAAACTGCTGCAGCTCCAGTCCATGGACCTACACTGGAGGTTTACACTTTGTCAGTTTAAACTAGCTGTGATCTAATACTGAATCTCCTTGGGGTTTGGTATAAAACAGAGATAAGGTGGTGACTTTTGCCCTGCAGTGGCTGGAGAGTTGTCTTGAGAGTCCTGTGCAAGGATCAAACTGGTTTGGACACTCAACACAATCACTCCAGCATCATTTTTCACCCTGCTAGACTCTAGATCTAGCCACACACAGGCTGCAGAGAAAAGTGCTTCATGTTTTGCCTTCTGGCTGCAATTCTCCAATCTCTCATTTCAGGGGGCAGAGGTGTGTTGCAGGTGCCTCACTTTCCCCTCCCATCCTTTGCCCATCTTGTCTGTATGTAAACTTTTTGGGACAGGGACTGTCTTCTCCCTTGTCTGTGGGGCATCAGTCTCAGTTGGGGAATCTAAGCACCACTGTGATAATAAAGAATAAGTGGTAGTGGAGGGGAAGTGGTGTAAGTGCTAATATGCCAAAGATCACACAGGAGCAAAATCCTGGTGTCCTTACACAACATTTACCCACTCTTTAAGCAAATTCCCACTGATTTCAACAGGAGGAAAACTCCCCCCACAGGGATTGACCTCAGCAGTGGTTTAGCCAGCACAAGGATTGGGTGAAACTGGTTAAGGACCTTGAAGTTTGCCAGTATGTGAAAGTTATAGAGTGTCCCCTCAGACAAGACAACAGGATCTTCACTAAAATTGAAAGCTCACATCCTTTTAAATGGGACAGAGGCCAAGCTTTTTGGTGTAAAATAAAATCATGATGTCCAATTAGCAAGAGCTGCAGTTCATGGTTTTCCATTTTTTTAGTTATCTGGGTTAAAAAAGGTCACAGGAGCTGGCTCGGTAGCATTGCCATGAATGAAGAATTAGATATCTGCTTCAGGCAATGACATTTCACTACCTCAAGTTCTTAATGCCCTTTAGCATGCACCATCTCCCCATGATATATATGCAGTCAGAAGCCCTTTATGGACCAAGAGTATGGTTCAAACAAGGTCCTAACAAAAGCCTTTGCTCTATAAAACCCCTAATTGAAGTCCACCCTGCCAATGCTTGCTACATCTCCAGTAGAATAAATATTATTCTAGCCACTCTTTCACAACACTGTGTTAAGGCTCTGGCCGTCAGGATGGCTGCAGAGTCAATGGTCCTTGTAAGTGGCAGCATTCAGGCTCTCAGCTCTCTGGAAAGTCCATCAAAGTTTAGGGGGCATGAGGTCAAGTCAGACCTTGTATAGGAATGTTAATGGGTCAACAGGGCTGGCTCATTGCACAAAGGCAGTCAGGCTGACTTTGCTGAAGAGCAGCAGCAGCAGCAGCAGCTAACCCATTGCTGATTCCCTGCAAGTCACGGAGGCAATAAAAAATCCTACAAGCCTCATGTTTCAAGGGTCAATTTAACAGCATGAGAATCGGTTTGGTTCAAAGCCGCGTGGAGGGGGAGGGGCACTGAAGCTTCAGAGTACAGTGGCAGGACCTTGCCAAGGCTGGCTTCGCCTCCTGCAGAGACGCATTCTTGCTGCATTGCTCTGCCAGGGCTGGCTACAAAGCTCTCCCAGCGGTGCCTGCCAATGCCAGTTACCTTGCGGCACTGCCTCACAAGACAAGACTGGTGGGAACTCCAGCAGATCATGCTTTTGACAAAAGAGATTTAGAGGTCAGTGCAGCACCGCATGCCATGCCAGCTGTCTGGCAATACAACTGCTGCTAAGCCTAACATCAAGAGCCCTGCTTCCCCAGCATGTTAATGTTCTACCTGGATAATCTAGGGCTTCTGTTCTCCCCTTTTGCCCACTGGGAGCAGGACATACCTGGAGGTATTCCTTGTTGGAATCCACATTGGGAGTCCATCCATTGTCATCGCTGTTGAGCCGGCTCTGCTGTGGGGTCCACCTCCCATCTGAGTAGGTGGAGGAGGCACTGATCTGTTCATTGGAGATCCTGCCAGATTCCATCCCCAAAGGAATGTTGCACTGGAAGTCTAGAGCAGACACATGCACAGATCAGTTTACAAATCCTGTATACTTCCGTTCCAGTTGGAAGTCAGCCATAAAACTACTCCCCAGAATCCTGGAGCAAATCCTTATGCCCATAAAAATGAATGTATTTACACAGGGCTATCTGAGCACACAAAATCACTGCAAATACTAATGTGAAAGCATCTGTGAGAACAAGGGGTGGCCTTGGGTTTGAAGGACCTATTGGCAGTTGTATTATCTGGATTGTGTTATTAAGAACTTTCCCACTTTTAGAATTGGGTAAATGCCATCTCCACACTCTTTGGCCACCTCTGATATGTGACTGCCTTCTCCTGTCCACATCAAGTTGTGCTAAGCCATTCACCTAGCTGTAAAGCTACTTAATTTCTTAAGCTAGGAGATGAACCCTAACTACAGCCAAAGCAAGGAATGGGGAAGGCATGAAAGAAACGCACTCTGCAAAGTCTGAGAGGTGTTGAGGTCAGATGGGAACATAATGGTTGATCAGGAGTCTATGTCAGACTTGACAGAGAGGGTGGAGGGGGGATTATTCCAGGTGGAAAAGCAGGATCATAGGAGGTTCCTACCAATTAAGACTGAGAAATCTATTATCCTGTTTTCTGAATTTCCTCTCTTTTAAGGCTTTTAAAGGTGCAATAATTCAGCCAGGATGCACATCTTGTGCATTTTGTGGCATATGTCCCACAAGCAGGGGCAAGATACATTTAACAAAAAAAAAATGGCAAAAAAGAACTAAGCTGGCCAAGCCCTCAACTTGCATACAATGACATTGCTCTACTAACATCCATTTTTTTTTAACATGGCCATGTTATACACAGCACTAGAAACACTAAGCAAATTATACTCTCAGGGGTGCCATTAAAGTCTCAGTGGGCATGTCTACATGAGACGTTTACTGCGGAGTAGATTATTAGCTATGCAGTAAACATCGTGTGTCTACATGTGTGTCCCTATTAGGCTGCAGTAAACTAATTAACTCTGCAGCAAGATAGTACTTGTACATAGAAGTACTATCCTCCTGCAGAGTTTTTTTACTCTACAGCAGCACACATATAAGACTCTGCTCTGGCTGGCTGGGGCATGAGGGTGCTTCAGCATGGGGGCTGCCTGTGACATGCCCCACACTGAAGCATCCTCGTGCTCTAGCCAGGCCCCCCGTAGCATGTTGAGTGTGGGGAGTAACCCAGGGATGGCAGTCTGACCCCTTGGGCCCCCTGCCAGCTGGGGCTGCTCCAACCAAGCTTAACATGCTGTGGTCCCGGGCACAAGTTCAAATGGCATATCCGGAACCAATAAGCTCCCTAGCTTATTGTTTTGCATTAACTGTGCATGTAGACGCGCCCAGTGAAAACAGAATTTGTCTCTTGAATAATTTTGCTCTTTTAATTTTTCAAATTTTAAGTTGAATTAACATTTAATTTCCCTGTTTTCTAAAAGGGGGGCAAAAACACAAAAGCAGGATGGGAAAGGAATACACACAAACTCATGCAGTCCCATCTCAAGCTTTTTTAACTGAGACATACCTGAGGCAGGGCTCCTTAACAGTAGCTTCGCTGTGGAGTCCTTAGCACAACAGCCTTTAATGGTGAGTGTCTGGTAGTCTAAACTGCTCTAAGTATCTAAAGTCCTGTGTGCTCAAATTGGGATCACCCAGACCCACCCTTTTTTTGGATAAATACAAATTAGAAAATGGGGAGACAGGTACAGTATTCTGAAAGTTTTCTCTGTGGCAACATAGGTTCATGGTACAAGGATGCTGAGAACTATTGTTCTAGTTGAAGGGTACTATGAAAAAATAAACATAACATTTTCTAACATGCATATGTTAACACTACAAGTTTATGCATTCACAACGCTAAAAGTACACAACTTATTTTCATCAAATCAGATCTTTTCCCTTTCTTTGTGAGGAACAGACAACAAATTTAAGTTTGAAATTCTTAGCTTCAGGCATTTTAAATTAGACAAGCATGAAATTTCAACTGGCAGTCTGGATAATTGTATTTTGAGAAAATCAAGGAAAAAAAGAGCATTTCTTTCCCACTCTTCAATAATACAGCTGCACCAATTTTACTGAAATCTTCCAAAAATCCCCTGGAGTGAGACCAGACATGGAAAGTTTCACCCCAAAAGGAATTTGAAAAAGTTATGAGCAACTAAAAAGATGAAGGTCAGATGGATTCATTCTTAACAATAGTGCCCAGGCAAAAGCTAACACACACTTATTTTCAGTTCTCTCTGTACTGCTGTCTGAGAAGCAACCCCTTGAAAACACTCTCCGGATTACTCATTCAGATGCACAGATGGATGAAAACACTCCCAGAGATTCAGATGCAACAATCCATAGACCTACACAAGTTAGAAGAAACTATAAAATTTCCAGCTTACTGTCTGGAATCTCCTGCTGGACTAAGTAGTAACGGGCTGAGAAACCATCTTTGGCCACTGCCAAATCAGTGTGGAAGGTGAGTGAGAGGATACCAGTAGTTGAGCGGATCTCTGAAGGAGTCTTAGTACCACAGTATCTGCCTATCAAGGGGCCAACTGCAAAAGAAAAAGAGCAATTCTAGTTTCAGCATCTTGGTTGGGAACATCAATCTTTAACAAATCAGCACTACTGAGCAAAAACATACAGGTAGTGGACAGCAAGTAACAACCAACCCTATGGAACCAATCGGGATAACATGAAGGCTTTTCAGATTTGCTCACTACCATCACTTACAATGGTATGGGTTTTTTTTAAGAACAGAGAAAGCTGAAGCATGGTATTGGTTAAATGAATGTCACTCTGGCTATCCCTCCGCATGTCTAATGTATCAATCACTGTATTACAATGCATTATATATAATATTTGATAAATCGTTTATAAAGCAAGTCTTTCTCCTATATCTGCTGTGCCTTAGTGATCAACAGGTCTATCCTGTCTTTAGTTAAGATGCTGACACGATACAATTAGAAAATGAGAAATGTATGTTTATGTGTAAGATAAAGCCTACACTGACCCTCCCTGAGCACAAACCCAAAGTGCCAATAAAGTAGGCAGGATTTGCAGCCTTAGCATTTAATTGGTAGCTTCAACTGAGGGAAGGCCAATAATGTTTTGGATCCATTCAAAAGCCAAAGGCAAGTCAAAGCTTGGTCCAAGTCTATCAGTCCACCAAGCTAGTGTGGTTAAAGCACACCCGTTTCTATAACTAATAGTGTACAAAGGGATGATGTGGCTAGAATTGTATGTGGTCACTTTTGGCTCTCTCCAAATGACCAGGTCCCCCTTTATAGCTGAATTTATAGCTGAGTTGAGGAGGCCTTCTGCATAAGTCTGTCAAAGCTAAAAATCCTTTCCTTGAAGTCACAGCAAGATACCATAACCACTCTGTTACCACCTTCTAGCCTTCCAGACACCTTCATGATGCAAACTACTGTGGAACATTTCAGATTCTCTATCCTTTTTGTTAATGGGACAATGACAGACACTGAAGAAAGCACTATTTCACTCCAGTGCTTACCTTGAGGAATGCCATCCCAGATGTCTAGCCAGTCATACTTGCAATCTCCCTCCCCAATTTGCAAGGGGTCGTGCTCGAGGTCAAAGGTCAGAAACTGAAGAATGATCTCCATCTTTGGCTTAGCCACGATGGTGAAAGTGCAATCTAAGTTGTGGGGATACTTATCAGGGAATCCTGGTGACTCTATAGTGCCATTGGTGCTGGTGAAGTTTCTAGAACAGTCTTCAGAGCCTGCAGTGGTAAGAAAAGTAGATACAACATTAACAGCAATACGGCTGGGGGGGCTCTCTTCATTGTGAGCTATTGAAAATCCATTCTGGATCCAAGGTGGTTGTATTCGCAAGAGGAATTTCACTGAAAATTTCCTGGGAAACAGCAGTTTTGTAAATAGCGTAGAATGTGGATTTAAACCTCTTAAGAATGCTTTAAAGTCTCACCCTCTCTCTTCATATACTAATTTTAATGGCACTCTTAATCCCCTAGACCAGTAGTCATCAACATTTTTAGGCTGCAGACTGGAGTGACCCAGTTTGGGTCAGAGGTAGGTGGATGGGTGAGTGCTAGGACCCAGCTTCCATTGCCGCTTTTCCCTACCATGGCATGAGGAAAACACCCATAGCTGGCTGGCACTTCTCCCTATGGCAGCACTGGAAAAGTGAGTGTCAAAGCCCTCCTGCTACTGAATGGCTTCAAAGCCCCATGTCTGTGGGACGGATGAAATGGCTCTGTGGGCTGACTCCAGGCCACAGGTTGAACCTAAACACGTTTGGTAAATGTCAAGAGCCTACAGCTAAAATTCCTCAGCTAATATGGGGGAGGAAGGGTTGAGGCTTAGGAGCCAAAACCCATATCCAGTCAGACTAAAAGAACTAGCTCCCTATAGGCACACTTGAGGATTTAAATGGAAAAAAATCCTTTGTTAAGGAGTTTAATTGCCCTAGAGAAGGAAGAGAAACGAATGACATCTGGTATGGAAGAGGAGCTGTTGAACTTTTAAGAGAGCCCCTCTTCTGGTTTTTTGGCTGTCTGAGAATTTTGTATTAGGCCTCCTCACTTCATCCTGACCTGAACCTCTCTCTCAAGAGTCAGAAAAACTGGCTTCTTTTTCCAAATATAACAAAGACTTGCTGTGAAGCTTTATGCTAGTTACTTAACTATTCTGTGTCTCAGTTTATCCACCAGCAAAATGGGGATAATAATATTTATAAAACAACCATGGTCTTCTGTTTGGAAAGTGCTTTGAAACCATTGCACAGAAAACTGTAAAGGAAATGCAAATGAAATGCAAATGTTCAATTATTAATTGTTGCTATTATGCATTTTCTTTTCCATCATAGCAACAATTAGGAAAGCCACCTTTCTGCAGAGGCACTTGGAGATTAGCATCCCAAAAGCTCATATAAATGGGGAATCCAGCCGATGGCCTAACATTTTCATTGTGGGGCTGCTGAAAAATTTTGGGGCCAGTGTGGGGAGGAAGGCAAGAGAGATTCTACTGAAAGGACGAACAGAGTGCTCTTTCTCACTGATTTAGTTGTCTGCACCAGAAATGTTAGTTATTTCTATCCTTAAGGAAGACTTTCTGATTGCCAATAGGGCAGACAATGTTGCCACTTATTTATTGCTGTCTTCAACACTGGCCTCCATTGTACCCAAGCCAGCTAAGTGCCTCCTTTCTCTCACAGGCCCAAGGTGCCCCAGGGTGGGGGGAGGGAGAGGTTGTGGCCTATTCATACCAGGACAACTTTAAAAACACTGCTCTGTAAAGACTGGACAATTAACAATGGAAATTTCTAGCCTGGGGGTCAACAGAGGGGAAAGGGGATGTTTCAAGGCCTTGTGCCCCACAACTTTAACACTGGATTAATATTCACAAAAGGTTCTGACTTTTGTTTTGTAGGGATTCTTTGCTTCCCCTCTATAAACCCACTGCTTCAACTCATGCAGTTGATACGTCTTGTTAGGACTAATGGGAGCCTTGTTATTCAATTCTGCATTAACCTATGCAAGTTAGGACAGCAGCTTGAGATAATAGCTGGAACCTGGGTTATTATCTAGTGCCTCTAGGTGGAGTACTACTGAGAGACACCGCTTAATTGACTAGAGTGGCCAGTTTTGCTTGTGCTATACTGCAGAGTAATATAGAGAGGCAAAAACTCAGGCTGAACATAAATCAGAAGACAATACAATAAAGAGAATAAAAATGTATTTCATTCTGATCAAATACAAAGGAAGATGGATTTATGAAGAAAATAATTTGTATGCCAACCTGAGAAGAAAAATACTGAATAAACCAGGTGTTTAATGTCAACAATGATCCTCTGGGTACCAAAGAGAAACAGAATTATGTGATAAAAATTGCAAAGATTTCCTTACGAAGGGCTCAGGTAGTGGTTACGATTTTAGTCAATAACTTGACCATAACAAGTGAATAATGGTCAACTTTATAGCTAACTTTTGAATAATGAATGGGAATCATGTTTACTTCAGCAATATATACTGAATTACCCCAGCAGTCTTTCCTGCCCAGAGCAGGGGGCTGGATCCAATGATCTCACAAGGTCCCTTCCAGCCCTAAACTTCTGTGAATCTGTGTGTGAATGCTTCCCCGACCAGGCTGAGAGAATTGAGCCCATTAATAACTGACAGGTAACAAAGACATGCCTACCAAACTCACTGTCACAATAAAGTATCAGAGTTTGGGACAGCCTAGACTATAAAGTATGGATCTGCATCTGAACTCAACCCAAATCATAGGAGCACTGGAACTTAGGTTTTGGTTTAGACCCATCTTATCTTGGACCTATGCATCAATATCAGAGCTGTAAATGAACTTCTGTATAAAAAGTAGTGGCTTTTGTCTGTGTGTGTGGCTTTCAAATTTTTCTTCATTACATATTCCATTCCTAGTAATAAAGAAGTTTCAACCAATTCTACCAGAAAGAAAAGAAAAGAAAAGCTACTGAGGGCATCATGGTGCCAACATTTTCCGAAATGCTAAGTGATTCTGGACGCAAGACTTTAGGCCTTAAAGTGGCCTGACTGGCAGAGCGCAAATGCTCAGCGCTTTCTGAAAGCCAAGCCATTTTAACCTGTATGAAGCCAAATGCTGAAAATCATCAAGCATTTTCCAAAACTGTGGCCAGCATGGTGCAGTTTCAGGTCTCACAGCAAAATTAACCAATGCAACAACAGGGGACTTGTGCATTACCATACAGTTTATATGGCAAATGACTCTGTTAACCTGTTCATGGGGAACATTAACATAAATTGCTAAATTAAATCTTTTTTGGGGGAGGATTTTTAGATCACCTTCAAGAGGGAAACAAGATGAGCAGTGATGCTGCGTCCACTGATTTGAAATTTCTTGATAAGACACCCTATAAAGTCAGTGAAACCTCAATAGATACCCTAGCAGTTCAGACTGAAACTTAGGTCTGATCCATCCCATATCTAAGTTTCTACAAACAGAAGGTAGAAGGTGTTTACATTACAGACCTGAGGTCAGTGACCTGCCCACCCCACTTCATTTGAAGATGTATTCAGAGGACCTGGATTTATCCAGATGGACTTTGTGAACTCTGAGAACACATTACCCAATTGGTTTCAGTTCCTCTCTCCTGGCTAGTGATACCTTGCTAATCATTTTGAATTTTGCCTAGCATGGCTTGAAGGAAAGAGCCTTTTTCATAAAGGACCATGGGACTGTTAACTGCACTCAGTGCCAGTGGAGAGGACTCTATTTGATGACACTCTGTGACTTCAACCATAAGGGCAAGTATGTTTTTCTACAGGAATTTAACCTGAGGAACAGGAACTGAGCAAACTCAGCACCAGTCTTCCTCCTATTCCTTCTGCTTCCCTGAAGCAGTTTCCTCTCCTTCTCTCCTGAGGCAACAAAAGCCTCTCTTTTCCACAATTTTAGCCCTTTCCTGGCACCTATCCAAAGAGACAGAAAGTTTTACACTCCCGGCCCATTGTATCTTCCTGCCAGCCAGAGTACAAAGTCAGTCCTTGGCTCTGTGTCAGTCCTGCCTCATCCTGGCCAATGCTGCATATGGGACCACTCCCTACTGTTTCACAGCATGATTCAGGGTGTGGAACTGACCACCAGAGCAAGCAAAGCAAGGTTCAATGGGATGGCCCTGGAGTTTATGGGTAAGGAGAGCAAGGCAAGACAAGCCTATTATGAATCAACCATTTTCTCCCCAAAACAAAGATGCACCTTGCTGTCAGCAGTACTCACTACTGGCCTCAGCAAATCCTAAAGAAAATTTATTCCTTATGGGTTAACTGAACCCTTTTATCCCCCCTGTTACCTGAACCGATACTATAATGAACTTTCTGATATGTATGTGCACCAATGCCTTCCAATGGGTGGAATGAGAACGGCTCATCTGTGTCTCTCAGGTTCTACAGCAAAAGGAGTTTTGCCAGTTATACAGGTAGATTTCTAAGGTGCCCTTCCCCATTTTATATTAAAGCTTAGAATTTCCATTGCACTTGTATTCCCATCCCCATGCAGCAGATCATCTGCACGGGAACCTGGAGATGGATAGGCCACTGTGTATTTATGGGCCTCTGTCTGTATAATGGAGAACAATCCTCTGAATCTTAGCAGACTTGAAGACTTGCGTTTGTGCTTCTCCCCAGGTCCATCTACACATGCAATTAATGCAAAGCAATATACTCCAGAGCAGTTCAAGCTGGAGTAAGCTGCTTCTGGGCACAGCATCTCCACATGCGCCTGGGACAGCAGCAATTTGAGCTGGGGTACAGCAGGCCCCCAGCTGACTCAGCTAACCAGACACAATTTACTAGGTCTGTGTGAAGCAGCAAGTATTTGTTTCAGATTCGGATTCGGCCAATTTGGAGGGACAGTGATTACTGTCCTAGTTCGATTCAGCCGATTCAGATCTGGAGATTCAGCGCTGATTCAGAGATTCAACCATAGACAATATAGGCAGCAGTCCTCGATGACACTGGACACAGTTGCATCCAGCTGGTAAATCTGTTGTGGCGGGCGGAGTGGGGATGGAAGGGGGATGGGGGAGGTGGCAGATCAACACCCCCACAGAGGGGGAGGGATTGGGGCTGGGACAAGCTGCCCAGCTGGGGCAGGAGGCTGCGGGACTTGGGGCAGGGGCTCCCACAACTATGCGCCACTGTGCGCCACCAGTCCAGGAGTTGCTTTTCTGGTGGCTCCTATGGCGGCTCTCGCTGCTGGTCTGGGAGGACATGGAAATGGGTGTGTGCCCCCAGATCTACGCAGGGCGGGCTGGGCAGGGCTGTGCTCCAGACAGGCGGCAGAAGGTGCTAGGACCAGGGGCTATGCTTTTCTGCCGCCCGCCCAGCCAGAATGGGGATACGTGGGACGGTGCCACTGCAATGCCTCAGACAAGCGGTGCAGAGTGGCAGAAGCTGCTCCAGCCTTCCCGTGCCTCCCAGACAAGCCGCAGCTTCACCTTGGCTGGGCGAGCAGCTGCAGGGCATGGGGCGGGCACGTGCCCTTGGATCAGGATGGGGCTGGTGCCAGGGGTTATGGGGAATTTTAGGGTGGCTGGAGCGTCTCCATAGCTCCCGTTCCACTGCACTCTGCAGGGTGGGTGGAGCCAGGGCTCTGCTCTGGCCTGCGGCTGGGGCTAGCTGCCTGGAACACAGCTCTAGCTCCACCCACCCCGCGGAGAACAGCCCGGAGGCACGCCCCCCCCCCGCGGAGAACAGCCTGGAGGCAGGTGGCTGGGGCTAGCCTCCCAGAGCACAGCATGACCCAGCCCACCCTGCGCAGATCTGGGGGCACACGCCCACTCTCATGCCCTCCCGAACTGCTGGTGAGAGCTGCCGGAGGAGCCACTGGAAGAGCAGCTCCCGGACCAGCAGCGCACACCAGCGCACAGTGGCAGAAGCCCCCCTCCCTGAGTCCTGGGCCCCCACAGGGAAGCTTGTCCTAGCCCCAGCCCCAATCCCCACCTCGCTGTGGGGGCATTGATCTGCCCCCCCCTCAATGCCCTTTCCCGCCCCGCTCTGTCCACCACAACAGACTTACCAGCTGGCGGCAGCTGCATCCATTCTCAATGGACTGCTGCCTGTACAGTCTATGGCCAAATCTCCAAATCTCTCTGAATCGATTCAGAGGCTTTGGAATTGATTTGGACCTTATAATGGGTCTCCCGATTCAATTCGGATTCGGAGATATGGCTGTCAAATCGGGCAGAATCTCCTTCGAATCGAATCAGCTACTGAAGCTTCACAAAGCCCTACAATTTACCCCCCATTCAGTGTCTGCACATGCATTCCAGTGCAGTTAATTACTCTGCCATAAGACAGTACTGTCCCCAACAGTACTATATTACAGTGAAATTAATTAGTTTACTGCACCCTAATACCAACATATGTGTAGATGGTGACGCTTTACTCCACAGCTAATTAGTCTACTCCGCAGTAAAGTGAACATGTAGATGCATCCCCCTTCTTTGAAGATTCTGGATAAGAAACACACTTGTCCCTATTTTTTATTTTTTTGTATATCCATGTATTTGTTTCATGTTCTACTGGTGACGTAAAACTTGTATGTGTTTCTTCCAGAATGCTAGTGATGGAATGTGGGCAAAGGACCTGGTCCTTTGACAAATAAGTCTTCAGTACCCTTTTGTAAAACATACACGTGCTTCTTCATGTGCACATTAACACTCTCTCTCTCTCTTTTTCTCTCTCTCTCTCTCTCACGCACACACACACGCGCGCACACACACACACACACAGAAGCATGCAGAGTGTTTTTTATTTCCTTGAGCCTACTTATTCTCATGCACACAAATCTGACAAATATTTAGACAGAGCTGATATAAAAAGGCCTTTGAGCGGCTTTTACTTTCTTCAAGAATAGTTTTGTATTAAACAGAATTATGAATAGTTCCTCTTATATCAAACTCAAGAGGCGCCTGTGTCACTCCCTTGATGGCACTGCCGACAGCAGTCCCTTTAAACCAGCACTACACCAGTTACAAAACCCTTGGCTTCCAGAAACAGAAAACACAGTCATTGATCAGCATTTGAATTGCATATCCACAGGAGGGGGAGCTTTACGCAGTTCTAAAGGAGGGACACTCTTCACTTAGCCTTGACTTAACAAGCTCTGTACATGCTATGGAAAAAAGATAGACTGTTTGTAATTCTGGAATACAAGAGATAATTTAATGAGGAAACCTGCTTTTCGTGCCAAGATAAGAATCAAAAGGCACTATAACACACAACTGAAATCTTTACCTTCTCAGAAACGCAATGAAACAGACTTGTTTAAAAAAAAACCCTTTATACTGTGAATGTGCTTAAACTTATTGAAAAGGTGGCTGATCCTAACATCAACTGCTTGGAAGACAGATGCTGTAGGAATGTCAGTCCTCTGACACTAACCTGTCTTGTAGATCTCATAGCGCAGAGAGAAGCCAGCACCTTGCCGTGCGTAGTCTGAGGTGAACTTAATGTAGAGAGAGGAGCCTGAAGAGATGATGGTAGGAGGCGCAATGTTCCCACAGTGTTTGCCCAACAGATCTGCTGACTCGCTGTCGCCATCCCGTATCTCAATAAAATCATACCTATTGATAGAGTTGGAAAAGGAGAGACAGACCACAGTCAAGGTGATATCACAGAATGTACAGAACGAATATGAGGTGGCCTGCTGTTTCTGGTACCCATACTCCATCCTTCTGGTTTGGTACTATGACCATATCACCCCTATCTTGTTTTAACTCCATTTCCACAGCATTAAGCACAAGCTACTTCTCTTCACATCTAAGGCCTAACACCTGCCCTACCTAGCTTCTCTAATTTGCTGCACAGATATAAACAAGTTACTTAGACAAGCTACTTAGCATGAATTTGCCACATTGATGAGGATTTGTACTAAAAAAATCACTTGGATGTTTTTGTAAATAATAATACTAATTTCCCTACTAATACAAAGCAATGGGTGTGGAGATGGGTCTGAGAATGAGTTGTCATTTGGACAATGATTAGAAAACACAATTATATAAAGATCTAAGTATTAATAAAAAATAAAGTAATATATTTGAGGGAGGAAGTGAGGAATAAAAAGAATTTGAGCTGATGATGGGCTGCAAAGGGCTTATTATTGCTGTTGTTGCAATTTGGTATTATTTTTAGGGCAGGCAGCACTTAGAGGCCTATACTCCATTGTGCTAGGTGTTGCACACACTGTAATGAAGAAATGGTCTAGGCCACAAAATTTAAGTTTAAGCAGTCAATCAGCTATTAGATAAAAACACCAAAAAGCCCTGCTGAAGCATGTGAGCTATACAGATTGTGGGGAGCCAGGTCAAACTGACATGATTCCTCTTGTGGTAAAGTGCTGGGTTGAGGGGGCGGGGAGGTTCACGTCTATCAGCGCCCCTAGATAACAAAGTGCTGCTTAAACTTAAATTTTGTGGTCTAGACCATTTCTTCATTATAGCTTGTGCAACACGTATCACAATGGAGTATAGGCCTCTAAGTCCTGCCTGCCATAAAAATAATTCATGTGAGTAAATTAGCTCCCCTCAGTTTAGCATGTAGAAGGGACTGCAATCAGCAGAGCAAAAATTCCAGGTCCAAACACTTTCACAATTTGACCAGTTCACTCCGCATCGAGACACTGATTTTCATGTGGTCTACAGTGACATAACTGTTGACTTTAATGGAGCTTTAGCAATTTATACCAGCTGAGGCTCTTACACCCTCAGACTTTGTAGCTCAGGCCCATCTGTGCCACTGTGAACTACAATGCTGGAATGACACATCTTTTCAGTATTGCCGTCTGTTATCAGTAGAAGGGGATTCTTTCATTTCACTCAGAAGGTTGGCCCTTCCCTGTATTAATTCAATATGAATGCCCTGTGGCTACTGAGCGACTAGTCCAACACTATTTGCCTCAACATATCAAAGCTGATGCAAACAGAAGTTGGAAGTTGTATTATTCTTCCTATAGATTATTTCTTTCATGAGGTTTTGATCCAATTAGAGAGGATAGCTAATTAACCAGAGACTGAAATCAACTGGGAGGCTATAAATATCTAGTTATGTATCTGCTGATTTATTAGGATCAATTAAGCTTTGGCTGTTAAACAAGTAATAAATGCACAGACAATATGCCCATGTCGTTATTAAGTACAATATATCACATTAGATGTGCCATTCTACCAAGACGAAACAAGGTGGCCAAATGGCTAGAACTCTGGGCTGGCATGCTAAGGACCGGCATTCCAGTTGTGTGGGGTAATTTTGGCCCAGTTGCTTCAACTATGTGTTTGTGAATCGCTTGGAGGTCTATGGATGAAAAGCTCTTTGTATGAACTAGGTGCCATTATTGTTATTTACCAGTTCCTCCAAAGTACTGGGTAAAACACTAAATATATGTATTAAATTATGGTCACAAATTATAAACTCAATCCTGTATTAGATCCAGCATTTGCTGTTCAAGTTGTCACCTGGGTGCCCAAGTGCCATTTTATGCGACTACTTGAAAGCCCAAAGCATGGGGGCCATATTCCTGGGTTATAGACATAAGAGCCCATTTTAAGAATCTGATCTGGATCTGAGAGTCCTTTTGAATTCCCTGGAGCTTTCACCCTGGCCCATGCCTAATGGCAGATGTCTGGTATTGTATGTTGTAGATAAACAGGTATTACATGAACATTATGTTCCTCAGCAGTCTTTCACACTCACTCTCCTTTCCTCTCTTCTTTCTGCAGCAAGTGTCTGGTGCACCATTATTTACAGAAAACTACCCCTCTCTCTTCCGTTGTTTATTTGCTTTGCATCAACCTGTTAAAACAACATGCTACAGATCTTCTCAAGGGGAACAGGAAAGCGGAGAAATGTTACACGCTGCCAGAAATCTGACTTTCTACTTTGTCACAAGATCCTCTGTTTGGGAATCCAGGGTTGAAAGAAGTAGCTCGTTGGACACAGAATGATTCTCATGTGACTCATTCCTGTTCTGCAAGATGCACAACATCAAGCAACAACCCCAAAACAAACTTACAGGAACTGAATGTGCTGGTCTCCGAGGAAAAGGGTCGAGTGGGCTCAGTTTCACTCCTTTTGGGGAATTAATCAGGCTAAGTGCCAACTGAAAAATGCCTGCAGCTAAAGCCCTATCTACATTGGGCCAGGAACAAGAGTGAGCTGTAACTAGCCAGCCTCTGACTTGGTTGCAGTTTGGGTGGCCAATGTAAAAGCCACATTAAAAAGAGTGTTCTAGGAAGAATATTCAGTGGAGTAAATCTGTAGCTGGCATACTGCGGATCTGGCTCCATTTAATTCTATTCTACACAACTTCTCGTTGAGTCATTGGCATATTATCTGAATTCCTTCAAGGGGTATGGTGAGCAACCCGGCTAATATTTGGTCACATGTGGTTTCTTCTCTCTTTCATCTGCTCCCCAGGGGGAAAATTGTGTATGCAGTATAGTGCTTTCTTTTAGTAGTGTTTTCTCTATTTGTGTTTTTTTTAGCTGGTTAGTTTGTTTAAACTGCAACTGAACAAGTAGCAGAGACATTTTTTTCCCTGTGAATATCTGCTCAATTTCAAAAGAAAATTCTGATCTAACCACATTTGCAACCCTTTCACATTCAGAGGATATCCATCTGCTCGGAGGGTATAGCATGAATACTTGAATATCTGAGAAGCCTGAATTTCAAACAATATTTTGATTGTTAACATTTCTATTCGTATTGCATCAGCTGCAACTCAGTAAGTCAAATTACACTGTTTCTGTTCGCTTGGTCACCAACTCAGCAAAAATTTTCTGCTATTTGATTGTAAAATTTACAGTTTGTGCTTTCTTCATTGCATAAATAATATATCCAATCAGTACTGCGAAACACTATCACATGATTTTTCAAATTAGCTAGTACGGAATGAACTAACAATATCTGCAACAAACCCTTGGCCAAGATTTACTTCTTACGTGAATCTGTGAATAATTTCAGTAAAACCGAACATTTGAGAATTTCACAATCTGCCCATGGACAATTTGCAAGTAGAAAGAATGACAAAATTAAGCTAATAAGAAAATCATTGGGAAACATTTGTTCCTCCTTTAGCTAAACAGTACTTGGCCTCATCCAAGCATCTAACAGAAATTTCCGAGACAGAAGATAAGCTTTAACAAGCTGAGTCTTACAAAAAATAAATAAATAAACCCTATAAAAGCCTGTACGAGGTCAGGAGATGACTTCTGCCAAATGTGAAATTAATATAAACACATAAGGATTTTCCTTTTGTTTTTGTTTAAAAAATTCTGGCCTGAACCCTGCTTATTCAGATAAAATTTTCATTACATTTCTATAGTGCTTATAAAGAGCTGCGAAGTGAGAGAACATTCATACCATGCTATTTCTCCTGTCCAGAGGTACTTAAGAGCTCTCACTTTCTTTTCTACTTAGACTTCATGCTTTATGCCTTAAAAGGGAAATAGCAAAAATAAGGAGTCTAAAAATTTCATGCGTTTAAATAAGCATCCAGGCTAATCCCCACAAGACTGCTCTTTTTTGTTTTTCACTTAGGTTCTGTCCACAAATTTGCCCTAAATCAATCATGTTAAACGGCAGTTCTCTTAACGCTGGGTCACTGGCCAAACCATGTTAAAATCTGGTTTTCCTAGAACATTGCTTAGGGTGAGCTTAAAGAGTTTCCAGACTTGGTTCCTTTTCTAGTGTGAAAAAAGAGGAATGAAAACCCACAAAAACAGTAAGGATGTCTTCTGCACTACCGGCTTAATTTCCAGACAGTTACGGAACAACTCATTGGTGGGTGGTGCAGTTTAGTGGTATGATGGCATCCAGACTGTCTCAGCCAATCACCAGATAGTTGGTTTTCATTCATATACATCCTGTAATTCCACTGGTTAAGTAAACAGAACCCAATACATGGCACACGTATACTGGTTAGCTGAATTCAGACCACATCAGCACTGAGAAAACTGATGATTTTGAAAGAGGAGGGAAAAATAACATAGCCGTTCCTTCCCCAACCTAGGCTTCCTCCTGACAAGACAGTGATAAAAATGGCTGGCCCAATCTTTAACATCAATCGCAAAAGGTATGGTCAATGGCTTAACCATGTTTTCTTAGATGGCTGCTGACCACAACTGATGGCAGCTGACCAGTTTCTGCATCAGCAAGACAACTATTTTTCAACAGCAGCTTAAGGAGGAAGGGGGGTTGTTGGGTTTGAAAGAGCCTCAAACACAGTAGTTTTGTCTGTGTTGTGCATACATAAGCTATGGTGTTTTGTGAGGCAGACAGCCAAAGTCCAAGTGCTTTCAATTATCCAGGCAATGGGGTGGGAGAAAGAGGGAGGTGCAGGGAATATATGCACAGCTGTTCTTCTTGAAACTGTTAAACAAAATGAGCTAGTAAAGGTCTAACACCTCCAAATATTGTATTTTATTAAAGATTCGTACCTAATAGAACGTGATCCTCCTTTCCTGACATTAAGAGAGCTTTTATAAACCAATATAAGGCACTTACTAATATCTGTTACTCACATTCTCTTCTTTTTCCTTAGAGCTAACCCAGTCTGTCTCAGTATCTTGCTTTTCTGTATTTTCCCTATTTGTAAGTAACTTTGCTCTCGGCTCTTAGAACACTACAGGCAAAACCAGAGACAAACAGACTGTGCCCTGCTGCAGTTTGCAATATTCATGAGAAAGCCACTGCCACCTAAATTCTTTCTATGGCTTGGCCCCAAAACAACACCCAAGACACACTGCTAGGTAGCTTGCTCCTTAGTATTTGGCAACAGTGATATCTGTGCCTCAGGAGTCCATTAGAGCTACCACCTAGCACCGTCTTCCAAGAAAATTAGCTGCCTCAAAAACCAAGACACATCCAGAAAGAACATAACTTGGTAACCATAACCTGCCACTGCTGAACACCACAGTACAGCCCAAACTTCAGATTCTGGCTGCTGAGTGCAAGATATGGGATCACTGAAAGCCCCATCATTCATAACCTGAGGCCTGCAATATCAAAGCAAGGTTAAATGACACTGGCAAGGGAAGCATATGCTACTGGTAGCACAGGGAGGAGGGAAGGGAAGACAGCTCTAGGCAGGACAAAGCTGGAAGGGAAAACTAGCTCATATTAGGAATGAAGACCATCAGTCTGTACCTGCTACTTCCCAGAACAAAACAACTTACACCTAGGTCCAAAGCTGGATAATTTGTTAGCTTTTCAGACTGTAAGTCACACAAAGCTTTGACTTAGTATTTCCTCCATCTCTCCTTGCTTGCCATCTCAAAGAGGTGAGATATTAGACACACCCTTGTCCTATTTTCAGGCTGTCTCGTGAAGACACACTATTTTTCTAGAGACGAGAAAGGTATGAGCTGAACTTCCCCAACATTTCATTATTAGTTTTATTTATAGGCATTCCATGGCGTTCATGGCTCCAGTATCTCAGCACCTGGCAAACATTAATGAATGTATCCTCATAAGACCCTGTAAGGTAAGAAAGTTGAGAGGATCAGTGACTTGTCCAAGGTCACACAGGAAGTTTGCAGCACAACCAAGAATAGAATTGAGACTTGATTAGACAGATTATATTATATGAGACTCTTCAAGGCTGGAGAGATCAACAAGCAGATACAGACAGACAGGTACTCATTAGATCCTAACATTCCCAAATTTGGGAATGTTCAGTGTTGGTTCAGGCCTCCAAGCCCTGCATTCACTCTTCCTGCCTCACTTACGCTGATTTATGACAGTATCTCCTAGCCAGGCTACTTGGAAGAGGGGAAACCTAGGGAAAAAAAATCACAGTTCTGGTAAAAATGCAACCAAAAGGACTAATACTTTGCCAAGTAATGCCAGTACAAAACCTGCTAGCCAGAAGTTCTGGCAGACAATCTAAAGCTTCCTTTCAGAATGCCCATTTCTCAAATTGCTGTGAAAAGAACGGGTGATTTTAAGTGCTTTAAGAAAATGCTATTTTGTGCTGATACTGTCAGAACTGTGAATAAACCATTTTATTAAAAAAAGATTATGGAACAGCTTGATCTCAGGTTGAGAAGAAGGCAGTGTAGCAGCAACTCCGTGCAATGCTGATGGTTAGCAGCAGACAGAATTAATGTCATTATATTATGGTTGGCTTAGTCAATTGCTCTGATGTCACCACCCAGCATCCTGCTGTTTCATAAAATGCCTTCAAATCAGATTGTTATTTCAGAGGTAGCTATGAAGTAGAGAATTTTGGAAGTGCAAAAGTTTCCAGTGACTTTTATAGACAATTAAGCAATAGCAGAATACAAATAGCACAAATCAAAATGTATCGATGATTTTAAGTAGAATTTTTATGGTCGGGAAGCATGAAATTTAGTTTTCTGATGACATCACAGCTATGGAATATGATAAGATCTATGATAAGAATATGATCTTACATTAGATGCAGATAGAATTTTATCTATAGCCATTAAGTATATACAGCAGATGGATTTGACTTTCTTCTGATTTACACTGGTTTTATATGGGTGAAGTCATTACTAATTTGCACTGGGATGAGTAAATAATTAGGCATGTGCATAGGTCTTTGTCTCTCAATCTGTGTGTAGACAAAAAGAGTGTAATTCTAATCTTCACCTTAATCATTTATATCAGCATAAAGTGGCCACAGACTACTAATTTAGAATGATACTGTTTAGTCCAGTTTGATCCTGATGCAAACAAATATATGTGATACAGAATAGTAGAAAATAAAATCTTACAAGACCTGATTCTCGTCTTATGTATGTTGAAGCAAATCAGATAGGATTTGACTAGAGTCAATGGGGTTGCAATGGTCAAAAACTGGTATAACAAGAAAAAAAAACTAGGCCTGTGGTTGGATAGTATGAGTATGTTTGTGTTTGTATACATATTATTTATATATGCATATACTCTATACATGTGTGTGTGGGCTTATATGCATAACTGCTGAAACAGTTTCTTTGAAAACTGCTTTAAATTTGTTACACGTAGTTTCAGTCTTATGTATCTAGGGCACACTGAGCTTTACAATTATTCAACTATGTTTTGGGCTATTCTTTTAACTCTTCCTAACTAAATGACTAGAACTTGTGAAAAGAGAGGAACTCTACCTTCCATCTCAGAAAAATGTGTATGAATTTGTGTGGAGCGAGAGAATGACCCAAAACAGATTGAAAGACTTCTTCCAAAATGCCTTGAAGACAAGAAAATGGAAACTACAAAATAGCATCTATTTATAATCACTGGGAGTATTTTCAACCCCATGCTTGCACCGCCAAAATAAGGAGTCTTGCAGCAATTACAGTATGTTATGTGAAAACCAGTCAAACATATCTTGCAAAAATGAGTATCAAAGATTTTTAAAACTGCTTCTTTGGCAAGTTTAAGTTCAGATGAAAATTTTGCCTCTGCCTCCCATTAGCCCCTATGCTCCAAAATGAACACTGAATACTCCCCCCACTGTTTTTTTTATCATTCTTCGTCAGGCTGCATTCCTGAGGCACCGCTGCCAGATCTCTGCTAAAAGGAGCGTTGGAGTAGAGAAGCGCTCTCATCTGGGGCATGTCTGGAAAACCGTTCATTTTATAAGAAAACAAGATGTGCTAATATGCACTTTAGGGGTTTTCTGCAGGCTGTTATTCAGGAGTTACATGTACATGGCTGTTTAGTTTTATTTCTGTCTCTAAAGCCATCTCTCTAAATGCTGCACCCTCTATCTTTAGCTACATGGCTCTCCTGTGGCAAGATGTCTTTAGTATTTTAGAAAACAAAACAAAAAAAAGGAATTGCAAGAAAATCAGGAATAAAATGCACGAAGTACATCAAGAGTCATGCCTGCTTGCCACATTGTTCTGCTTTCTGCTATAGTTGTAATAGAACTGAACCAACTCACAGCCCTTTCACAGACACTTGAGAAACTTCATTGACACCTGCCTAGTTCTGACAGAATCCATCTGTGGAAAGACTTAGACTTTGGTTTCTATTTCATTTTACTGTCACCACTCACTGGCGGTTGATCAGTAAGCAAAAAAACTACAATAAATAAAGAGACCATTACAAGGAGAAGAATGTGCACTACAGAAAGAAAGGCAGACAATCAGTGAGAAGACTGAGCTGTTATCAGATCCCATACTCAGGGATGGGACAATTTCTCCACCTAAGATATAAAGCCTATACTATGAAGTTTGGCCTCACTTCCGCCATCCAAACTCTCAGTGCATCTACACCTACCCCTGCTCTGCAGTAGCAGCAATGTCCCATCTGCTGGCAGAGCTACTCCATCTCTACCAAGCAAAGTAAGGCTTCTGCTGCCACCTGGCAGCCAAGTGAAGATACATTAGACACTCCTATGACTTCCACCCGCTACGTTAGTCCCTTCAGCAGCTGGTGCCTTCCCAGATTTAAGAATGATGCAAAGGAGTCTTCGAAGGAGCTGATCTGCTGAGATGGCTTCTCTCACTCAGCAGTTTCTCTCTCATCCAGTGTGTGTTCTGGCTCCTTCTTAACAAATGAATTAGGGAAGGCACTGTCCTAGCTGTTTCCTAAGAGGTATGACAGGGTGTATTACCAATAGAGCAAACAATATTGCCTGAACATTAGGACAGCCACTTGCTTCACCCCTCAAGAACACTACCATTAACTTCCATAAAATCATAAACATGTTGGCCAATGTTGGAAAGCAGAGTTTGGTAACAGACCCATCCATGGTTTCCTGTTATCTTTTAAACAGCCTGCATTTTTGCCTATCTAGACATAATTGTGCACATTAGTCATTTGCCAGAGTACTAGAGAGGGCGCTAGCAAATCTGTATTGTGAAAAGGAAGGCTGCTTGAGTCTCTAGAAATAAATAGGGCCTGAAGTGGGAGAAAAGGTATATCCACTAGGGCAGGTGTGGGCAATTATTTTGGGTGGAGGGCTGCTTACTGAGTTTTGGCAAGCCATCAAGGGCTGCATGACAGGCAGCCAGGGGCAGATAAATATTAATTTTCTAAATTTTTAGGGGCTCTGCAGGCTGGATAGAATGGCCTGGCAGGCCGCATTTTGCCCACCCCTGCACTAGGGCCTGTGCCTGCTGGAATCCATTCCTCATGGAGTGGCCAAAACTGTTAGTGTCCTGCACATGATCTTCCTCCGTAATCAGTCTGTAGTGCTCCACAGATACCAGCCTGGCCCTGTAGGGTAGGCAGGGTAGTGTTTGGTAAGGAAAGAACTAGGCAAGCACCTGTACTTCTGGATGGCATAACACAGAAGACTGGTCTACCTGACTGCTTCTCTTGCTAGCAGCATGAAGCACTATCTTTTTTGGAAAATTGGGATGTAGTGTACAGAAGGCCACAGAGGAAAAAAAGAAAAGAGGAAGAATCCAAAGGAGCAATGACTGGGAACAGGATTGTGATGATTGATATATATCAATCTTAATGAAGAAAAATTGGACAATAACTTACTGCTCCAGGATACTGACCTCTCCCTGCTGACCCACAAACAAGAGCCCTGCCACTTCTTTGTCTAGAGATATTTCTTTTAAATTGATCTTTTGTTTCACACTCAGTTTCTGACATGTGTCTGCTTTGCCCTAACAGTTCAGCCACAGAGTGTTTACACGTCTTTCTCAGCTTGCAAGGCTTTGGTTCAGCTTCATCAGCACTAAAGGCAAGAGAAGTGTGTGTGTGTGTGTGTGTGTGTGTGTGTGAGAGATGAATCAATTATTTCCTCTGACACTCTATTACTATAGCCCTCACATCTCCAGATTCCAGATGAAAAGGGAAGACAGGGAGGGGGCTGGGGAGAGTGGGGAGGTCTCCCTCCATTGAGCTGTGGGACATCAGAAGAAATTCCAAGCTGCCATATTTAGAGAGACAGAGAGATACATCGCTCCTTGATCAACTGCCAGAAACTGTAGGCTTCATGACAGAAAAAAGTCAGAGGAAAAGTAATGGCCACAAAGGAAATCTTAACAAAAAAAAAAAAAAAAAATCAAAAGGGCCAATATAACTAAGCAAGCTACAGCGAACAAAGGATGCTGGTAGGTTGTCTCCATTGTGACACATGGGGCAACAAGGTAAGAGACTGGGATTTATTTCCTGCCACCATCCCCTGCTACAGGTGAAGGTTATCAAGTTTGATACCCTTATCACAGGTTGTGGTCATTAGCCTGTTTCTCATTGCTTCTGTTACCTCTTCATTTCATTTAAAAATAAAACATTTATGTAAGACCTAATAATACAAAACTCACAAATGCAGGCATATCTGAGAAAGGAGGTCAGGACACATGCCCCAAAGTCCTTGACAGAAAATCAGATTATTCTGCCTCTGTCATCAACTCCTAACATTGAGTCTCCACTGATTTCTGACCCACTGGCTGTTCTTGCTCTTTGAAAAGTTCTTTCTGCAGTGCCCTGAAGTGGATCTGGGAGTTGCAGCCGGTGTTTGCTGTGGGTGGTGCTTTTTCATTGTCAGTGAATGAATGCACATGCACTCCTAGCCTCAGGAAAGGAGAGTGCCCAGTAGACTTGTTCATGGCTACAAGAAATGCAGTCATTTTGATGTCCTCTGATCTTCCTTTAAGACTGAGGGTCAGAGTCAGCTATGGTATATAATCCAATACAGATGTTGATGGCCCACCCCCTTTCTATACACAATTTTTAATGCTTTGCGCTTTTTGCTATAAAGGTAACTAACTCTCTGGCATCTTTGCTGTATGTATTTTTCCTATTAATTTCCCACTACCTCAAGTTTAACTGGCTTTGACTTAAAAAGCTTATTAGATATGGGCATCCTTTTCTCTGACCTGGTGCTGCCTTAAAAAAAATAAAAAGTGAATTGCAATAGCTTAACAGTGATATATGTGGATCCCATGAATCTCTCAGGGCTTTAAAAAAGCCAAGTGCTATACTATTCATAAAGATTTTTCTGCTAACCCAGCATAGAAAGGGCTTGACACGGTGTGCCTGAACTGATATATCAAACAGCGCTTTAAAATGAGTTGATGGTGAATTACAAATCAAGACAGCTATTAGCTCAGCTGCAATTCCATTGCAATCAAATTATGATTTACAATATACTATGACATCATTATTCAGTGTGTTGTGTAACAGCTCAGTTTCAAAAAGAATCCAAATGCTAGTCTGATAAGAAAAGATAGTCTTTTTCATATACTTCAAAAAAGCCCTTTGCAAACCTTGAACCAAGGTCAGTCAGAAATTTCCCCTGGATTCAAATTCAGTTTCTTCTGTTTACTATGGATTTTACATCTGTTAGCAGAATTCACACCTGGGTGGAAGAGGAGAACTTAAACTGTGTTCTTAGATAAGCACTGGGCATTATGCTTAGCAACTCCAACCTGAGGCTGAGTGGTATTAAAAGAGTGTCCTTTTTTAAGGAATTCAATCATCTGCAGAAATTTCTCCACTGCTTAGCAATGTCTGAGTTAAACAAATGAGTAGACACCAGTGATTTGCCCAGGGTCAAAGCAGAGGCAGGACAAGAACACATATATCCCAGCTCCCTAAAAGTAAGGCCCTCCTTTCTTTCAGATAGTTAGAATATATATAATATGAATTTTAAAAAATATGACATGCACTGAAGGCAAATGGATCCTCATTAAAGGCCTGATTCAGTGCCAGGGGCATCAATGTATAGCAGGGGTGTCAGCCATAAGATCCATAGGCCAGATCCTGCCTGTGGAGCTGTATGATTTGGCCCATGGCATCCAGTGCCAGGCACTGCATACAGCATGTGGTGTCAGTCTGGTACACAGACTGGAACTGGCGCCATGGCCACTGCATGCAGCCCAGGGAGCCACCATGGGGAACATTTTGTGCTTCATTGGACCAGTCCTGACCACTAGGCTCTGGGGCCAGTCCAGATCAGATCAGGCCATACTGGAGCCAGCACACAGGACCAGACCAATAGGGTACCATATGCAGCACATGCCCCATGCCAGCCCCCTGTGCTGTGTGTAGGATGTGAGGTTAATCTAGCCTTGCGCACTGCCTACAGCATGTGCCAGCCCTGCTCCAGGGGCTTGTGCTGCAGGCAGCATATAGGGCTGGCATGGGATGCGTGTTCCATGCTGCACCTGGCTGAACCAACACCGTGCACTGGCTCTGGCATGGCCCTATCCAGCCTGTGGACTGGCCCAGCAATGCTCATCTGGCTCATGGGGTTGGATGAATTTAATACCTCTGATGTAAAAACTCCTATTGACTTCACTGGGCCTTGTACAAGACCCAGAGCCGTCCCTAGGGGTGTGCAGGGCCCGGGACATATCAGCCCATGTGGGGCTGGGGGGTGGCAACGGCCGGAGCAGCAGGGGGACAAGCAGCTGCAGTGCGGAGCCAGCCGTGCACAGCAGCCACGACAGGGCCTGTACGGCACTGTCCACGGGGCCCCCCAAAGTGCAGGGCCCAGGGCGGTCACCCTGATTCATGCCCCCGCCCCGGGACAGCCCTGACAAGACCCATAACAATATTTCTAAAGATTGAGCAACTACCATGATATCTTATTGTTTTAAAAAAGTACTCTCCTCTTGTATAAGTATTATTACACCAGTATTATCGAATGGAAAACTGAAACAGAAAGAAGAGATTAAGGTCCCTTTCAACAAAGGCATTTTGGTGCCTAGCTCCTATCAATTTGAACATCTGCATCTCAGCAATTTGGTCAAGGTTACACAGCCAGTCAGGGGCCCTGCCACAAACAGGACCCAGACGGACTGACTTCTGATCCCTTGCAGAACCACTAGCATTTCAGTATTTGTGGTTATTTTCAGCTTATTCGTAATGAGATTACTTTATTACTTTCATATTGGATTTTCATTATGTGTGGTCAATAAAGATACAAGAAAAATAGAGAAAAAATACCTAAGGGCTACAGTGTGGCTTGAACTATGTGCCTGTGAAAGGCAATCTATCTGGATCTTGGGTTCAGGTGTACAGAGGTAATCAGAAGTACTTCTCTGCCTGTTCCCACTCCAGGGCAGGGGGGCTGTGTGTGGTCAAAACACTGAAGCCTTTCTCTCAGCTGCTGATCACAGACGAAGAACTGGTGGAGAGTGAGAAGAAATTTACTGAGAGGCTAGGCCACAAGTGAATTGCTGCCCACAAGCAACAAGGAGGAAGCAGGAAAGGAATTGTGGTTTAAAAGGTATATCTGTGAGGCTTCACTGCTTTTGGGGATGTGGGTAACGTTACAGCCTAAGCCTGAATTTGTAACAGCTCAGTCCGCAAAATATTGTGCAGAACTGGAAGCTGACTCTCCTACACCGAGAAGACGTGGTAGACCAGTGTGGCTTGATCAACGAAAAACAGCACTTCTTCAGCCTCACTGGTTTCTGCAGAATTGAGAACTTCATCTATAGTTCAAGAAAAAAGTTTATGACCTGATGACCAGGGATCCGGGTTTTCCATTTCCTTCAGAGAGACGTGGATTTTCCCCTTTAAAGGAGAAAAATGAGGATTTTCCCCTCTGAAGCGGGGAACTGTAGGTTTCCCCTTTAGCAAACAGCTTTCCACAGGCTGGCAGAGTCCCAGCCCGCAACAAGCTGCTTGCAAAAAGGGTACAAAATCCTAAAACCTTTCTGCTAGAGAGAGGGGAGAGAAAGGGGGAGGAGGAGAAGGAGGGGATTAAGCAGGGGTGGGCAAAATGTGCCCCATGGGCTTGATCCAGCCCACCAGGCCATACTATCTGGCCCGTGGGGCCCCCCCAAAATTTAGAAAATTAATATTTATCTGGTCCTGGCTGCCTGTCAAAGATGATAGGAGCCAGGGGCAGCAGGATGCAGCTGCCCAGCCCTGCCCCGCCCCCAGCCATTTCCCTGCCTTACTGCCCTCCAGTACTCCAGCACCACATGGCTCCCAACTGTATCACCGGACAGGAAGCACAGGGCCCGTGCCAGTACCCAGGGGGCAGATGGGGTGTGTGTGTGTGTGTGTGTGTGTTCATAGGGCAAGTTCCACATGCACACCACATACACATGCACCCCCCCACATCCCTCCCTTGCACTGCCATACACACAGACCCCCACACCTACACCTCACACAGCCCAGCCACCCTCCCCCCATGCAGCCCCCCACAAACCCCATACCCACTCACATCCCACATATCCACATACCCCACAACATGCTCCCTCACCCCAAACCCACACCTATCCACCCATGGACACACCCGCACCCTCCCCCACACCCGACATACCCATACACTCACAGCCCCACACAAATCTATACCCACCCCCCATAATATACAAAAGTAAGACTTCATTTTAAGCTACTATATACAATCACCTCTATGTATACTACACAAACAGCTGTAAACCAGGACAAAAAGCTTTTTAAATCAAATTAATGAATGTTTTAGATGTTCACTTTTTAGAATATAATTTGGTATTTTTCTGGTTCCAAGATGGCCAAACCCCTTGCTGAAAGGAGTACTTTTGGGGGCAAGGGGAGAGACTTCTGGTGGCAATGGTCAGGGGTTAGGGAGTGGGACTTCCAGTCCCAAGATGGCGACCAGGGGACGGGGCATCTGTCAAGGGGCGGAGCTACCCATGCGGCACTCAACAACTTGCCAAAATTATGTAAGCGGCCCTCTGCCCAAAATAATTGCCTGCCTCTGGGATGGAGCCTGATAATCTGAGACCAGTCAGAGCTGGCTCAGGCTTACTTTGCCTTCTGCAGTCTTTGAGGTAAGTAGGGCCTGAGGGCAGCTGGGGGCCTCCTCCAGCATGGCTGGAAGGGCAGGATCTGCAGGTCAGGAGTGAGGGGGGCACCAGCATATCAGGGCTGCTCAGTGCCTCAAAGCAGCAGGGGAAGACAGCCAGTTTGGACCCATGTCCTGATGAGCAAAGGAGGCAGGGGAGCTCTGATTTTCCATTATAAAAACCCAAATTCACCAAAATATATAGGTATAGAACTCATTTAATTATAATGATTGAGGCACTGGTAGACTTCCAACTTGCTTTAAAACTGTAAATATATCATCAATAAAATACTGTGTTCAATTGATGCCTATATATATATATAGTGGTGTTTCATTTTAATGGTGGAAAAACATGGACTGGGGAGGAATCAGAGAACTTGGAATTTTTATCAGAGAATTTTGGATGTTTTAACAGAAAAAACGAGGACCCCTGCTTAGACTAAGAAGTAATGATTACTGTTACGAAATTATTCAAGTGGTCTCTGATTCTGGAGACAAAAATCAGGAAGCAATTGTGCCAACTCTGCAGCCCCAGAACAGAAACTGGCACAAGAAGCAAGGGGGAGTTCCCACTTCTTTACAGAAAAATCATAGGGATAGGGCAGGGACAGGCAAGTATTTGAGCCCATGGATGACATAGGCAGTTCTGGGGAGCTGCCATGGGCCAATCAGCATCACCTCCCCACTCTGGACAGAAGCCTGGAGCCCACACACCTGGAGGCTCCTCCTCGCCACCAGCACCAGCACACTCCCAGCCCCAGCCAATCTCGCAGCTGCTCTGGACTTGCCCCAGCTGCAGTGGACCAGCTAGAACCCGTGCGCACAGCCCTGACCCCAGGCTGTTCTGTGCCTGCTCTGGACCGCCTGCCCATGCTGAGCAGCGACAGCGGCCAGGCAGAAGCAGCTACTAGGCATGGGGGAAAAGTGGCCCCTCACTGCTGTCAGGCCCTTCTTGCTACAGTTGCTCAGAGGCTCCTCTCTATCACCATCACCAAGCTGCCCAGCAGGGTAGCAGTGGCAGTAAAGAGGAGCTGCAGGGCAGCCTGGGTGCGGGCTCTGGGCAGCTGCAGCAAGAAGAGCCCAGCAGCAGCAAAGGGGAGGGGCTGCTTTTCCCTAGCACCAAGCAGCAGCTTCTGCCCGGCTGCCACAGCTGCTGCTGCTGCTCAGCATGGGTGGGTGAGTCTAGAGCAGGTGCAGGGCAGGCCAGTGTTGGGGCTGTGTGTGCAGGTCCCAGCTGGTTCACTCCGTTGGGCTGAGTCCAAGTGGGCATGGGGTGAGATGGAGTCAGGGCTGTGTGCGCAGATTCCTGCCAGTACCACAGGGCTGGGGCCAGTGGCAGCAGCTGGAAGGAACCACCACTGCATGTGCTGCCTAGAACGGCAGTACTCCCGTGGAGCCACCCCAGCCCCACCGGATGCCGGGGAGGTGGTGGGATGCGCCATGGGCTGGATGGCACCTGGGCCAGGTGTGACTGCAGGACCTGCCACAGGCTGGACAAAGTCCAGCCATGGGCCAGATCTGCCCCACAGGCTGTATTTTTCCCACCCCTGGGCTACGGTCACAAGACAACAGGCCAAAGGGAGGGAACAGGTAAAAGGTAAAGAAACACCAACACTGTGGTAGCATACACTCAGCACCTTGATTTCCCCCCACACTTCCAGAGGTGTCCCTAAACAAGCCTTTAGTCCCTGGAATGCTCAAAACAGCAGCCTGCAGCTGCCCCCAAGTCTGAGTCCAGCTCCTTCAGCCCACAGTCCTAGCTGGTCAAGCCAGCAAGATCTCCAGCACCATGCACTTCTCTCTGTGCAGGGCTGGCCAGGTTCTACTTGCACA